CTTAAGTGAAAAATGATCCTAATCTTATTTTAAATTGATTTATATAAAAAAATAGCTTTTGAAAAAATTGTCAATTTCGTCCCTTTTCTCAGCATCTAGCCCATATTATTCAAATGAGTAATTTTAATATGATACTATATATCAGATATATAATTAATATAATAAAGTTTTTTGTTTAGAGATAATCAAATTTTTAATCGAATAGTATTTGAGTATGTAAAATAATACCTACTGTATACCAGATTCTGCTCGCTTCACCGACACTTATTTTATAGACACAACACATCAATTCACAGACATGCTTATTTTTACGGACAACCCAATTCCTAGAAAAGCTCATTTCATAGACAACTTATTTCACTGACAAGGAATAAACTTGTTTATAAAATGAACTGTTTTTGTAAAATGAGTTATCTATGGAATAAGAATTGGTTGTTTCACTGACAAATCTGTCAGTAAATTGCTTGTTGATGTCTACACTACAAAGTGAGTGTTTATGGGAACCATTTATTCCCCACACTTACCAAATCAAATCAAACATCTAGTGACATACGAATTAAAAATTATCTAGTGCTAAACTTAAGATCTTTCAAAATCAAAACTAGGAATTGTGATACTCAACTATGCAAAAAACGTGAAGATGAAAAGCTTAGAAGTTATTAATACTAGTGCTTCGATCCTATTTCTGACAGACCATCCGGATTATATTAAATCCGGTTTGAATCTGTCTCAGATAGTGCTTGGATCCGGATAGCAAAATCCGGATGTATCCAGATATTTTATAATAGATGTAAAATTTCACGCACTCCATATATTAATAACATTAATAAATCATCTTTATACTCATGCACTATTTAAAAGGTATTAAGGAATTAATTGCAAATAAGTGTTTAGAGACAAATATTTGTGTTCATGGTTTTAGTTCGCTGATTAACGTTCCTCCGTTTCTTTATTTTTATCAAAAGATTCTAATCACACATTTCAAGGTATTTTTAAACTCAATTTTTCTCCTGTTGTTCGCTCCAACCAATAAACCGACCTCCATTTTTATTAATAAGTATTTAGAGACAAGTATTTGTGTTCATGGTTTTAATTCGCTGATTAACGTTCCTCCGTTTCTTTATTTTTATTAAAAGGTTCTAATAACACATTGTAAGGTATTTTTAAACTAGATTTTTCTCCTGTGGTTCGCTCCAATCAATAAACCGACCTCCATTTTATTTGTACGTTATAAATAATCTTCATATTCACATTATTTTAAGGGTTTGAGTCAAAATCCTGATAAAAATTGACTAACCCTAATGGGCTAATCTGTTGGGATTTTGACCAGCTCCCAAACCGGATCCAAGCTCTAGTCTCAGATTATATATAAAGCTAGCTTTTTGGGCGGTTCGTTATTTAAGTTCTTTGACCAATCCGAGTAAACATCTCTGATTTGGATATCTGAATTTATCTGTCGGATTACGGATCGAAGCACTAATAAATACTATTCGTGAAGACAATTTATAATAACAATAATTAAAAAGTAGTGTAATTCTCGAAGAGAAATATCAAGAATATAGAAAATGATATGCTGTAAATAAAAAACAATTGAATTCTGAAAGTTATTAATGAATAAAATATATAAGGGGTTTCAAAGTTAAAATCAGACATCTTATTTTATTTTTCCGATTTAAATCCTATTTAATTTTAAAATGCGCTATTTATTTATTAACTTTGAAACCCCATTAAAAAAGAGCAAAATTGACGGTAGATGATAATTAGAATATATACTTGAAAAGAATTTTTAAAATTCTACAAAATACACAAATTTTATTTCATTATGCAAGATTATTAATAAAATATACAATGAAATATAAATATACAAACAAAGAAACATGATTTGTTTACAAATCAAAATCTACTTAATGTTTAACTATCTACTTGTTAATAAATATATTAAATATGTATGTTTAAATCCAATAATAATATTTAAAATTAAAGAAGGTGACTCAAAATTTAATACAATTTTCACACAATATAATATCTATCAAAGAAAGTTTAACCAAGAGTGGATTCAACAATAACATGAGTTACACTGTAAGGATCAATATTAGAAGCTGGTCTACGATCTTCCAAATAACCTTTTCCTTCAGCAGCACAATGTCTTGGAATACGAATTGAAGCTCCACGATTAGCAACGCCAAATGAAAAATGTGATATATGGCCAGTTTCATGACGACCTGTTAGACGCTGGTCATTATCTTCACCGTATACGGCGATATGTTCGGCATGTCTTTCGGCCATCTTATCTATAGCATCATAAATTGCCTTAATACCATTTTCATCTCTCATTGCCTGAGTTGAATAGTTGGTATGACAGCCAGCACCATTCCAATCTCCTTTAATTGGTTTAGGATGGAAGGAAACCACGGCACCAAAGTCTTCAGAGACTCGTTGTAATAAGTATCGAGCCATCCAGAGATGGTCTCCCATATCGATACCTTCGCAGGGACCAACTTGGAATTCCCATTGTCCTGAGAGATAAAAGATTAAATAAATTAGATAAATTCTTACTGTATACTACTAATATGCTATAATTGTATAATAATTATAAATTACCAGGCATAACTTCAGCATTGACACCGGAAATTTTAACTCCAGCATAAAGACAAGCACGATAATGTGCCTCTACGATATCACGTCCAAAAGCTACATTAGCGCCAATAGAACAATAGTAAGGGCCTTGAGGACCTGGGAAACCTCCTTTTGGCCAGCCAAGAACCTGACCATCCAAATCAAAGAGTGTGTACTCCTGTTCAATACCAAACCATGGATGAGCTTCTGCATGAGTTTCCATAATTTTAGCACAAGAGTGACGGTGGTTAGTCCTGTTTGGAGTTCCATCGTTGTTGTAACATTCAGCGAGGACAATTATGTTATCGCCTCCTCTGAAAGGATCTTTAAAGATTGCTGCCGGACGAAGTAAAACATCAGAGTTATCACCAGGTGCTTGGTTAGTTGAAGATCCATCAAAATTCCATTCTTTCAATTCAGAAACGTCATTAGGCTTAGAATCAAGGGTTGTTGTCTTCGAGCGGAGGCCACTATTGCCATCAATCCAGACGTATTCAGCTTGGATTTTACCATGTTGATCAAGGTTGAGGTATTTAGCGAGAGTTTCAGTGTTGGACTTGTTTGTTAAACTCATTTTGTAATTAAGTTTTAAGAATTAAACGATTTAATTTAGGTTTGTTTGATGATTTGTTTGATGCAAAAACTAATTTGAAATTTTCGAAGGTGAATGAGAAGGGTTTTTTATACAAATTATGCAAAAAAGAAATCGAAAAATAATTGGTTTATATTTCGGTTGATGAGTTTAGTGATGGAAATCTGTGATGACGATAATCATAGATTGGGATGTTTAAACTTTCTGAATTATATCATTCCGGAATTTGGGTGTATTTGTAAGACAAAATCGTTATCGTTGCTGTTTATATTGAAGATTAGATTTATGCCTTATAAAGAAATCTTATAAACAAATCGGAAGAGGGCTAGGCGCATAGTCGGATGATGTAAATACTTTTTTGACTTGATAAGGATAAGAATCTTTGTTTCTTAGTGCCATGAGGCATAGATTGTTTAATTCCTTAATTGTAAGTATTGAATCATTGGTATAAGTTATTAACGGATCAGACCATTACGTAACAATAATTCTGTAATCTATTATTAGATAATCACCTGATGTCCGTTATATCCAGTTGGCATACATATTATGGTTTTTTTTCTCACCGTTTAAAGCAAACGATAATTAAAGTCAAAATAGTTAAGTCTTGATTTAAATATGTCCAGATCATTAATTTAATTATGTAATAAAAAGCTTAACCCATATAATTTACGTGTATTAGATAAAATTGCTCATATCGAACATAAGGCCCAACAACCAATCACTACACTGTTTTCTTGATCATATGACTTATGAACGTTAATTAGCGATCATAATTTAAATTTAGTACGTATCGGTATTAAGCACTTGTTATGGTAATTGGTTATCTATTATATATTTAGTCTTATATAGCCTAGGTTTGTGGCGCAGATTTCGTGAATACAACAAGATCGTAGCAAAACGTAACATAAATACGCTTCAAAGAATTTAATCATTATAGCTGTGCCACAAACCTAGCACACAATTCAGACATGCAAAAAGATATTAATAACGATAATAAAGTATTTGACAACCATCAGTATTGCAACGCAAATTAGGAAGATATGTGATACGTCAATTGCACCATTATTTATTCTATTGGAACCGGATGCAATTTCTTCATCCGGGTCATCCGTGAAACTTGAAATCGAGTGACTCGGTTGCGAAAACTTAACCTGTGTCACCTAGGGGTGGTAAATGACCCAAATGACTAGTCATTGGTCATTTCAAAACCCAAATAACCTAAGGTCATTTAACTAATTGATAATCATTGATTTTTATAAAATATGATCGATAATAGTAGCTACATATAAAAGTCAAATATTACTAGGTTAGTCGATAATTTTGTCTTAAGTAAAGCTTTTCGCGAGAACAAATTGCATATATTATAAAAGTTTCATGTAATTTTGATAATTTTTTATTAAGTCATTTTTATGTTTTACATTTACATAAAAAATTTTAAATTTTTTGGTGTAAACATAAAAATGATTTAATGAAAATTTATTAAAATTATATGAACTTTCGAAATATAGGAACCCTCACAGCAAAAGTGTTAGTGAGCAGTTTTAAATTTGATTTTTAAATAAATATATCTTATGATCTTGTAATCAGAATTAAACAAATTCTATTTCATTAGATTCATCTTAATGAGATGAATTTAATGATATAAAATTTATTTGATTCTGATTACAAGATCATAAAATATATCTATTTAAAAATCAAAATTTAAAACTTTCTACTGATATTTTTTGCGATGAGAGTTTTTATATATGCAATTTGTTCTTTTAAAAAACTTTACTTAAGATGTAATTATCAATTAACTTAGTAAGATTTTGACTTTTATATGTAGCTACAAACATATTAAATATTTAACTAATAAAATTATTTTATATATAAATGATTTAAATAACTTTAATTAAATAACTAGATTATTTATTATTTCTGCTATTACTAGATGATTTGAGTTGAACTAACTTAGTTCAAACTTTAATTATATTTTACTATATATAGTATAATTATAACAAATATACACTACTATAATCAATAGCTAATTTATTAAACTATTTGAGAATACTCTAAGTAAAGATAGATAAGTCTTTATTAGTTCTATTAGTTTTATTAGTTTTAAGCAAATTACAAGATTTTAAAATAATTTTTTCTTTATAAGTTACTAATTAAAGTTATTTAAACCAAAATTTTAATAGTATTTACTAATTAAAAATAGTTAAACTATAGTATAAGTAAGCAAATATAATTATTACTAGCTTATAAACCTAGATATTACTATAGAAGCTAGTTTATTTATTTTGTTTAGTTCTTAAATTTGAGTATTGCTAAATATTACTACAAGTAATCATTATCAGTATGTAATTAGCTAATAAAATTGCAGAATTAGATGTAATATTTTGTATGACAAAAACAAAAAATTTTTCAAAATCATGAATATCTCAAAAATTTGATTATAAAACTATCTTTTGAGTTCTAATAAAAAAAATTCTTTACTAAATTTTATACATAATTTAAGTCTTACTCTAACTTTAATCATAGATTGCAGCCCTTATTTTAAACTAAATAAAATATTTTTTTTTATTATAATACTAATCTATATATTGTTTAACATTGAGGTGATAATCATCTGCAGTAAAATTTAGCAATTTTCTTTAAATTTTTTATAATTAAAGTTTAAACAAAAATAACTTTTTTCACTAATTATCTAAACTATTATAAAGCAAATATTTTTTAAATATAAAATAATTTATAACTCTAAAAATCTAGTAAAATAGTAGTTATTAAATAGAAGTACAAATTGTATAGCTTATATACTTTATATAAGAGACAAAAAAATCTAGTAAGTGATAATACTATTATTTTAGCTGAAAGTTTATATTATAGTAATTTAAAAAAAAAGAGAAAAAAAAAGATAATAAAAAGAAAGAAGAAACAACAAATAATATTTTATATTAGAACAAAAACTTTAATGCTCTTTTTTATTATAATTTGTTTTTACAAATAATCTCTCTTATCCTTTGACTAACAAAACTGATATAATAACTGTAGCTTTTTTTATTTTGAAAAAAGTGAAAATTCTAGTTTACTCTTAGTAAGAGTCTATACTTATATTACTTTTTATTTAGATAAGTTAATTTTAATTATTTACAAATCAATTAATATATATAGAGCTATCACAGATCTGCTTAGTAAATAGAATAACAAAGACACAAATTAGCAACTCTTTCTGAAGATCACTTGTACTAAAACTTCTTGCAAACATTTAATTATTACTCAAAATTCTATTAAGTAAACTAATCTTGGGTCACTAAGTAATATTGTTCATAATAAAATTTTACTTTAGGGCAGCTTAGTTTTATTTCCTTTAGACCTCTGCTTGTGGTGATATTAAATAATTCTAGTTTTCTTAGTTTTTTTTAAATTATCTCAAAATTTTATTAAATAAACTACCTCTAGGCTACTAAATAAAATTGTCTAGCATAAAATTTTACATTAAAAAAGCCTAATTTTATATTTCCAAGACCAAATTTTATAGAGATATTATATACTTCTAGTTTACTTCTATTTTCTTAAATATCTTAAAATTTTACTAATTTAACAACTCTTGTTTATTAAAAGAGTTAGATTCTCCTAAGTTAAAGCTTTATTTTGATATAAATTTTATCAAAAACAGACTAAAACTCACTAAATTACTTCTGAAAACCTATTTAAAGGCTTTTTAAATTCTTGTAGATTACTTAGAAATTATTTGTAGCAATTTTGAAATTTTACTAGCTTGCTCTAGATTTTTCACTTTTTTTTTTTAACTCTAAACCAATTCAGATCACAGGATTCTGCTCACAAGATCTAGAAATTTTACTAGTTTTTAGGAAATTCCACTATAGTTTTAATTAAACTCTTATTTTTTATATCAAATTTAAACTGTTTCATGTAGTTTTTTTTACAAATTACTACTTTTATCTTATACTACTTGTTAATTACTAAAAATACCTACTTTAACTTCAACTAAACCTGATTCATATAGTATTGATTATTATTACAATAGATACAAAAATCAATATGCTCTTGGGATGAATAAAACTAAACCAGAATTGTTCTATATTCTGTCTAAAAATATCAAACCAACTGATTATGATACTAGTGACAAAAAGAAAATACATCATTTCTTGATCCCCAAGCAACCAATTTATACTACCTGTTTGTATAAAAATTTCTATACAAATTTTATATTATAGTTCTATAAAATTAGAGCTACTACACTCAGTACTTCTTCTACTTCTTCAATAGATATTTCTCTAACTATCTCAAACAAATAGTTTAATATAATTACTGATGAATTTCTAGCTTCTCCAATCTCTAAACCTTATCTTTTCTAACTATTTAATCCACCACAACCTCCAACTTTTAATACTGATAAATCTCTAATTACTATCATAGCTTATACTTATTATGTACATATATGTATGATTTGTAAAATCAAAGATTTACTCTGTATTAATACCAAAGATAAAGGTCATTCTTCTGATTATACTATAGCTATTCTTTTTAAAAATCATTATTTAATCTATCATAGCTGTGTAGCCAAACTTACTACAATTTCTACTAAACTTCTACTTCAAACTCAACTACTTAACAAGAATCAAAAAATTGTTATACTTTTTGTTTTTATTGCAATGATACTTGCAAAAGAAAAAATCAGGCGATTTAAATCTCTTAGAATTTATACAAAAGTAGAAGTTGAACAAATTCTACAAAATCAATAACAAAACAACCAACAAAAAAATAATCAACAACAATATTCTCAACAAAAACAACTAAATAACCAACAATAACAAAATAAATCTAAAGAGGATGGAAAAGAAAAACCTTTTTTTGATTTTTTTAAAAACTTTCTAATTATTACTGAAATAGAACTATATATTTATCTTAATACTCTACTAGCTAAAAATATTTTTAATTTTGTTAAACCTAACCTTATCAACTTTAGGCTATATCAG